AGACTTTTTACTACTTTTAGCGTTTGTTTGCACTGCTTTAGCCAAGTCATGGGTGCGCTTCCTCTTGGAGGTTGGTTCTTGTAGTTGTACTGGTCGCCCTTTTGATACAGCCTGACGGCTTCCACTACAACACTTTCGTTTTCTGTTTGGCTTGACTCAAATAATTTTTTCCATTTCCTGATTTCTTTATTTCACTGGCCCCAAGAGTAAAAGGAGCGCTCGCCAAATAAGATTGCATAGCTCTAGCATGATTATATCTTTGGCCAAATTTAAGTCTCTTGAGCTTTGGAACTTTTGAATGTTTTGTTCACAAGAGTTTCTTAACAATTTTTCAGCATTCTCAATGGAATCATTCTGATCATCAGTGCTGTGTAATTTTTGAGCAGTTAAGTAGTTTGACCCTTGTTGTAATGTTTCCATACCAGTTTATGCCTTAGTAACAAGACCATTGGAACCATTAGTATGTAAAGCATCTTTTTACCCAGCATCACTAGAGCGTAATGGCTTATAGCAAGCAACAGGAAGTGTCTTTCCTATTGCTAGCCAGGCCAATTTCTGCCTTTCATGTGGATTGGTGACTGGGACGAAATTGATGAAGTGCACATCATTTGCCACCCACAGTACATACTGGTGTTTACACGGGCTCCTGTCTTTGCCAACCATGCAGCTACATATTCCAAGTGTCATGTCCACTGTATTTAACAATTATTCGCCGAAGGCGAGGTGAATATCGTCGAATAATCCCCGAGACGAAGTTGAGGGGATTACTTGACAATATTCACCGAACTTAAGGCGAATAATTGTCTTAGTATAATTTCAAAGCTGAACAACATAGAAATTTCTAAAATCATAACATTTTAGTACGCCCTCTCGGTCGTCCCTTCATTGCAATTTGTTACTGTAACGGCTAGGAAATAAAAACTCCACTGACCTTTGACTCACTGAAGAGCTTCCAATTTTGAATCATTATTGCAAAGTTCTCTACAGTAGAGAGAGGCATCTAGATCTATCCTCTCCTTTCCCCATGAACTGGTCTGTACACACCATCATGACTCCCATCAGCAATACTGAGAAGCTTATTCTTGTAATGATCTTCTTGATCAATTGTCTTCCTGTCTACTGGTTCGATAACATTGTACTCTTTGGTGTGCCGTAGAATCAGGTCCTTGAAAACCAAAAACTGAGCCTCAGCAAAATTGTTGGTGTGATTCCCTCTAGCAGGCAATTCTGTCCTAAAGCATAAAGCAAAAGCTTTGTTGTTGTTGTATAGATTTTGCAAATAGCTGACTAGATTTGTGTATCTCAAAATCTTGTTTTGTCTCAGTATATATGGACTTCTCGAAAAGGTTGAGAAACCAGGGGACTATCTGCTTGGCTGATACTGTTTTTACCCTCGTGAAGCCACCTCCAAAGTTACTGGAGGACGTGTTAGATGCAAAGTAGTAAAATAAGTGTTAGCCAAACAGACGTCAGAGCATTTCTTTCTTCTTTACAGTTGTAAATGCGAGTAAAGTCTAATCGTAAAGTCTACCGTTTAGAAAATACGAGCGAAAACAAACCATAAAGTTATCCGTTTACTCTTGAATTCGGGTAAAAACTCGATGGATGGCCCTAGTGGTCTTTACTCGAAGGTAACTCACGCGCATATACGAAAGTCAAGCGCCTCTGCAGGGGATCCAGCTGGGGAACGTCAAGCCCAGCGGTAACAACAGTTGTAAGTAAGGATGACTTGGAGGGCTTTGTTCCCCACCACAATCATTGAACTCAAACGCTGGTAAACAAGACCAAAGCGTTATAAAGCCCTGTTTAAGTGTAAGCTCCTGCTCATCACTGGTGATCAAGATACCAAGTGGTGGTGCTCCAGATACACTGCGTGTGCACATTACAAACACAATAAGATTGTGCTCATGTATGCATGTAAGATTGTGTTCTTCAGTAGCATCGACAAATACCCACTCCGCAGACTGCTGTACTTCCTTGTGTACGCGGTTCATAGGTGGCGTTACAATAGCAATTATAAGAGGCATATCATCACCTTCATATATCTAGTGACAAGTAGTAGCTTCAGGGTAGTCTTTCTTGGGTTGTTCAAGTGTTTCTGCAAGTCTTTCATACATCATAACTTCTTGTTCACCATACCTATCCTTGCCAAATTACATGTTAAGGTAACTGAAGTCCCTTCTCCTCGGTATTACTGCTCGATTGACCTTTTTCTTGTGAAACTCCATTCATCCTGACTTGATTTTTTTAGTTCTTTCAAGCACTGTTGCATTGTGGTTACTGATTTATACCCACTTTTAAACAGCTTAAAAACTCATTTCTGTGCTCTCAGGAGAAAGCTCATGGAAATTAGAAGCTTCAAGAGTTTCAAGTAAATGATTGTGTTTCCACTCTATGTCCACAGAACAACATCCCTTATTGTCTATTTTCACTATCGTCTGAAAGGGGACTATTAGTGTTCTTCATTCTAGCAGGTGGATTTAAGTGTCATTTGTGCTGTGGATCTTTACCAGTTGCGATTGTTGTGTTGGCATCTATAATAATTTTGCAACACATGGCCGCTTGTTGGTGTCTTCTTTGTCTTTAATTTGACTGAGATGCTGTTTATTACTTCGTGTTCGGAGATCCATTGCCCCAGATTTTTTTTTTCTTTGTCATATCTTCGGTCAGAAAGTGCAATTTGAACTTTTCTCTATTCCCTGAAATCGCCTTGAGGTAATCGTCGACCTCTTTTATAGCTGAAGTTATTAGATATTTAAGGAAACTATTGTCGGGTTTGTCCACCATTTTAAGTTGATAAAATCGCGATGGCTTATGGGAAGGCTAGTTACGCGGACTGATTGTCACGTATGTCGTCGGCGAGTCGGAAGTATCGGTTACCTTCCTGCATCGGCCTTTCCGAAGGCATCAACTGTTCTGAGAGTGGCATTAACTGTTTTAAATGGCAACGACCGTTCTGAGAAATGCCATCGGCCGTTTTAAATGGCAAAGACCATTTAAGAAATGGAAATTTGCTTCAGCGAGCAGTTCTATGGTCTTCTCCATGGGTACATTAGTACAGAACAGTCTCCTTTTTTCTTTCCTTTGCTGCCATCACTTCACTGAATGCCTTTATTTCACAAATAATTTTTCACTCAAACCTTTTTTGAGAAAGGGGAAATTCCTTTGGGTACAGTGGCCAAAGTCACTAAAAACATCGTAAGTAAAGGTTTGACTAACGAGAAGAGGCCCGATGGAAATAGGGTGCTCTCCTGTTATTTTTCAAAAGCAAAAGTAGATGGTGGTACGTCGCAGAGGTAACATTAAACTTGCCAATATTATACGTAGGATCTACTGTCATGACACTATACAGATATTCTGAAATGCAACAAGTCTCCAGGTTTTGGAACTGACTGACTGTTGCCAACATCAAGAAGAGGGCTGGTATGACTTTGGTTGTTTCTAATGAACACATCATTTGGACCCCCCAGCTTCTGATTATTTGCCATAATTAAGAAGCTACTTAAATGCTATAGTAGCGTAGATACATGCACTATTCTCTCCCATGAAAAATGTGTAAATTGCAAATATTCTTTTTTTCCCTTCGTTTATGAAATGAAGTAAGATGGTTTTCTTGATCTAAAATTGTTTGGAATTACAATCCAAGAGGGATCCACTAATACACAGTGTACTGCATACTGGAATATACCGCTTCTGCTGGTCACCTTTCCACTTCCCATCTGTGCCTATGGTTTTTTTTCCGGTTTATTTACATCCGGTTTTATCATCACGTCACGCAACATTTTACCTGGGGACTGCACTTTGCAGTTTATAGTTTGGTAGTTGTTCGTTCAAACAGTTCTTAACGTGGCCCTTGGCGCGTTGGTAAGATTAGGTCTTGTTTGTGGACCTCTTTGCACGTTGGCAGGGTTAGTTCCTGTTTTTGTAGCTTTTCGGACGTCGGTGACGGCAGTGCCTTTGATTCTACGTTGTGAGTCTTGCGAAACTAAGTCAGCTGACGGCAGCCATACATTATCTACGCATTTCTGCAACTCAAAAACTATCTGTCTTTCAATGGGGCTTTGCAGTTAAGAACCTGACAAATTCATCTGCAACTTTGTGGGCCGATGAAGATTCTGTTAGCTCCACAGTGCAAACAAGACAACAGATCACCAATTTTCTGCTTCCCTAGCAGGTACTTGAATTTGAAGCGTATGGTTGTAATCGTATAATCGCGCGCACGCCTTCGATCTGCTTTAGTTCCAATAGCTTTTTATCAGTGTATAGTTTAAAGCCTTGTGCCTTATGCTTAGTATAGTCACTGATAGGAACGGATCTTCGGCTTTCCCCTCTGCTTCCTCTTTTTCAGCCACTTAATCGAAATTGGGTACACCTTTTATTGCTTTTCTTTAAGATGAAGCTTCTAAAGCTGAAACATTTTTATGCCAAATCCGCTATGTTGGCACTGACAGTGTCACTTTTTACCTTTTTTTTTTTCCAAAAAAATCTAATGTAGAAACATGAATCGTAATTAAGGAATCGTAATTAAGGCAAATCATCCAAGAATATTCACTAAAATGGTCTCTTAGGCTCGGTATTCATAGTATTTGAGAAACAGAGTGTGATTCCACGTGTAGCTATTCCCTGAACAGAGTGGAGACTGTCTCGCATTTTTTCTCCGTCACCTCCGCTTCCCTCCCGCCCACGCTTCGATATTTGCAATCCCCATAAGAAAGATACAAAGGCATATAGTCATATCGCACCAGTACTAAAGAATAGAGTCAATGAAAAGTTAACCCCTTCTATTTCAGACTGAGACTGGTGCAAACCCTGTGGGTTCGAATTAACGGGGTTCATTTCAAGAACACGGGTGATGCAATGATTGAATAGCAGCAAAAGTCCTTTAATTTGACTTGCATGTCTCTTCGGCCCATCATGCCAGTTTGGGAGACCTATGGTTCTCATCAGCTTTTAGGCAAAAGGGAAAGGGGATAAAAACTTCAGATTTACGATAACACATCTGAAAATGGGAAAATTTCAATCTTTATTGACATACTGGTAACTCGTTTGAAAGGCCATTACCTTGACGCATTTGTTTGCCCTTCGCATTCCGTCGTGCTTCGCCCGGTCCAAACAAAAAAGAAAAGTAAATCGAAGTTTTATTAACAGTACTAGTTCGTAAATCATCCTGCCCTGCGCTGCCTTATTGATTTAAACCTGTCTTTACTATTCCATGTACTATGTTGCAGTGTTTTACAATTTTATCACAAGAAAAACCTTTAAAAAATAACCTTAACAAACAATCACTCTTCAGTTAACAAATAGCACTACAACAGAGGCCTACGAGGTTGACTTCATGTGGGATTCCAGTGCACTGGTAGGTAGGTACCAATGTATTTACTGTGGCAATATGCTTGCAGGTAGCTCTGTAGAAGCAGAAAATAACGTCGTACTTGCAGCTTAATGTGAGGTTCAGATGTCCAACTTTGTTTAGACAATCCTGCATTTGTTTTACGTCGGCATGGGAGCATCCATTCCACTGGGATATCCAGTGACTCCGTTTCCGTCGTCCCTTGCCTAAACAAAGACAAAAATTGTGAATATCAGGCTCCTTTAAGTGCTTAAAACCGTGGTGGTTGAGGTTACTTCATTGAAACTACTGAAATTGTCTCAAGCACAATTAAAGGTGCTTGTGCTTTCGTGGTTTGATGCTACAACACATTATAATTTAAATGCAGGCTCGGGATGTCAAAGAATTTATTAAATTGGATTGGCGTTATGCTTTGACGTGACAGTCTAGCTTAGCAGGGCACATAAAGTGATGTTTTCTTAACTCGGATTTCGCTTGGCCTTGCCACGCAATATTTGCAAATTGAAGCTTTTTGGCTTTACAGACTTCGATGAACTTGTTTTAGACATATGAGTATTCCGCTTTGACTTATTCGATTTTCACCTGAACTACTAATATGATATTTATCTCGTTTGAGAAAGAAGGGCTTTCGCTTTCTTTTCAATGTAGCTAGTTGGTGTAACACAATCATGAAAGACAGTACTGACGGGTGGACTTACTATCACAACGTCGCGATCGAATTTTCTTGGCTTGATGCGTTACCATATTCTCTTACTGATGCAAGGTAACAATACCTTATTGCTGTGAGGGCAGAAATAACGAGCAAAATAAGCTTTGTGACTTAATTTTTAAACACAGGAGCAAAAACCTACCATTTTCTCGCGTAATAAATGAGTGCCTCTCGTCCATTTGAACTTCTTTAATGTTGTAGATTGGAAAACTACCACAAAAATCGAGGATCTTCTGAGGTAGTGCCTTCCTGTCTGCCAAACCAAGTAATTTCACTTCAGTTCTGCGAACTTTCACTTTATTTGGTAAGGGCTGCTCTGACGCCTGTAATGATTTTAAAACAGTATGATTTTAGGAACTTTGATTGCACACGTACTTTGTTAGACCTGATGCTTAGACTTTTCTCTCTTAGGCATCGCCACTTTGTAAAAAGAAAGCACTCGGTTTGTACACTAAAGGGGTAAGAAATTTTTAGTTGGAAACTCGTCATATTTGGTGCAACTGAATGCAGTGTCGTTTATTGCACGAGCAAGCGCGTTCGTGTGTGTTCTGTGCCGTTAAGTAGCTCACATCAGTCTCTGGATGGTTTTGTTTTTTCCTCTCCCAGTTCTTCGCCACAAACCTCAGGGCTTGATGAAAACGAATAAACAAACAACAGCAACAGCGACAACAAGATGAACTATGGTACCAGATAACACTTTCATGAGTCGAACGAATGAACAAGAACAGTGTAACATTGTAATGATAGGACTTTCAGTTATCAAGTTTTTATGCTAACGCAAAAAAATATACAAAATTCAACGTAGAAACGGTGAGATCTTGCTAAGTTCAGCAAAGCATAAATGTTACCAGTTCCTATTCAGTCAGCCGTAAACAGTTTTTCTTAACTGTAATTAGTGTTAAACTGTAACCGTCACCTACCCATTGCGTAGTTGTTATCCACCAGAACTTTTCGAAAGTAAATAATCTTGTAAAAGGCAAAATTCCTCCAGAGCCAATAGTGTAGTGCATCCTTTAGATAATTCATAGAATTACCTAATCCTTTGTACATTAGGCTTAAATGGAGCTGTTTTGAAAAGCTTTCTTTGGTCGAGCCAGTTCTGGTTAAGAGAAACTAAGCCAGGTCAAGCTAGTTCTGGTCAAGCCTGGTCAAACTCAGTTTGGTCAAAAAAGTTCAGTGGCGTTCTCAGAATAAGTCTACATTGGAGCCAACCTTTGCTGTTGCTAGTCATTGTCTCAAGGATAGTCAACAGCCGTAATAGATCCCGGCCTTCCCGCAGCCAGCGAGTGCCCCTAGGAAAGCCTTTTCCCAGAGGAAGTTTATAGAGTTGTTTCCGTCCGTCTGTTTATTCGTGAGGGCAACAACCTGTTTTCACACTCATTAGCTAACCCACCTCGACTCATCTCCCTCAGTAGGAGTAATTTCCTAAGAATTCCTAAATTTCCTGACCGATGCTTGGAGCAGACTTAAACTGTTTAAATTTCGTCTTAAACCCCTCGAGGTTCTCGATAAATTCAAGATTCGCACACTGTATGGTGCAAAACCACTCGCACTAGGTCTAAAATCTACTATCATGATATTGCTTTTTGTCGTAGACCGTGGCTCTTTCATGCGAAGTACTCTCGAGAAACGGTATTCAACTCCTTAACACAACTAAAACTTTCACGCACATTCTGCCGAGAGTCGCCGTTTTTTCATTTCTGTAAGTTCTCCGCGAGTAATATGTCCAAGGCAAAATAATGGCGATAACACTAACCTTGTCCATTTCCATCTTCATTTCTCGTGGTGAAGGAACAGATGGGTCCAACTTGGACACATAGCAATCTTTACTTAAAGGAACACGACGAGCTGTTAGGCCCTGCGACAAAAAATGAGACTTGATTGACGACTTTTAATTGCAAGCGGTTGTGACAACTCTACCTATTAAACTTTGATCGGGCCATCTTCGAAAGGAAGATTGTTTCAGTCGATTTAAATGTACACCATACAATGGCAATGTACACCTGAACAATGGCAAGGTAATTGAAACGAAACGAAACATTGAAAATTATTTCAATTTAATCCCAAGTCACTGGAAAATAAGCTACCTGTATGCAGAGTGGAAGTTTCAGATTGTGGTGTTGTCCCCAGGTAAATTAGATGTTCAAGCATAGTGCAAGAAAGAAAACAATAAAGTGATGTTGTGTTAGTCAAACCACTGATGAGATTAATGCGAAAGCAGTATGTTGTCAATGGCGATCGAAGTAGACATTTCAAAGACGTTTTACATTGTATTCATAGCGCACAGGTGTGCGACTAGTTCTCCACCGTTTTCAAAGGAGTATTCAGAAACAAACACGCCTTGGGAGACTGCCCACTGAGTGATGATGTGAATTGAAAGCAAGTTACTTCCTCTTCATATTGATCATTTGGAGTGCAAAACAATTTAGTTCCCCTTTAAATTGTTAATTTTTCGTGTGAGGACGAGATAGTCTCCTTGGTTTGAAGCCTCAAAAATACTTACGCACCACCCCTTGGTTTAGGTGCCACCCGCTATATATTTCGAACGCTCTTTAATCCGTTTTATTTTTTTTTTGTACTCAAATTTGGAATTGATTTCTTACCGCAGCGAAATCGTTCATTAAGTCCAATGCATCGTTATCGTTATGGCGAGGAACTCTAAACACTTCTGTTTGGTTGTCTACGTCCACCTCTACCTTCTCCGTAAAACTTGTCCCATTTTCGAAAAGGTTGAAATTGTAGCGGTCAACCTGATGAGAGAGTATAAGTGCATAAGTGAATAATAATGTACAACTCGTTTAATCTTCCCCTTTAATACAGTGAACAAAGGGAACGCACCCACTCGGTCGAACTCATTTCTACATGTTGTTCAACATCATGTAATCATGTATCATGTTCTACTAGAGCGCTAGCATCGAGAGTCACTGACTGTGTGATACAAATGTGTATCATATGTCTGCCTACCTTGGAATCCACGTGCACTCCGTGAATGTAGAGGAATACAATTAAGCTGAACAGAGAAGAATTCTGCAAGACAAAAGGAAGCATGTAGACTTGTACAAAAATGAATGAATGAATTGAACATGTGAATATTTGAAATTCAATTTGTTTTAAATAATTAAAATCTAAAACATGCAGTAATGAAATGGTATAGTCACTGTTTGAAAGGAAGATTGATGTAAGGGACTAGCTACTTTGTGGAATAAGAGTCAATAGATCATTCAACTGCTCAGTCTGGTAAACAAAATTTGCCTCTAAAAATCTCCATGTAAAATTATTCGCCGTCTACTCTTGTTCGAGTAACTCCCAAGCTATTATTGAGCTTTTCACGCAATCAATGGGAATGGAGGCTTAGTTGCGGAGACTGACACCTACCATCTGGCGTAGAGTCTAATCCAGCGACCAGAAGAAGCACTTGATGTAGAACAAAATATCCCATCAAAGGAATACACAAATTCACTTTGATGCCTGCCTTTTATCTCAGCCGTTCAGCGAGTTGCATAATATTTTTATTCGCCCAAATGCTAAGCTAGGCTAATCTCTACTGCCGACCCTGCACTAAAGCCGATTATAAACCAGTTACTAAACACACATTTTACGCAAGTGAATTTAATCCTCATTTGAGACGCAAAAGTGACTTGTTTGACGTGTAGCCGCAAATCGGCATACACTAACCTCAATATGAAAGGTTACGGGTAGTCTTTGAGTTGCTGTGCTGTAGGAACTCACTACCAAACTACAATCGCTTAAACTAGAAACACACGTGCAAATGTAAAACGAGCGTAAGGTCATGGAAGATTAACATCTCTTCAGCACACGTGAATTTGAACGTGATCATAAACAACACGCAAATCGCGTTTATTTAGATACCTGACTGGTACGCACGTGCGCAAGCACGTGTTGTGACACGCGATTTGCGTTGTTTATCATCAGCTTCAACTTCACGTGTGTTGAAGAGAAGTTAATCCTCCGTGCACGTGTGTTTCTGGTATGAGCGATTGTAGTTTGGTAGGGAGTTCCTTCTAATTAGGTGCTGGTTGCGTAAAATGCTCAATAATAGCCTGGGGGTATCTCGAACAAGAGTAGACGGCTTTTTGGTCAGAGGTTCACCACAAACTAATGACCAAGCCGTAACTTTCAAATGCACTCGCGCACGCTGCAAAACTTGTCCTCCCATTCAAAACGTTGAGAAAATATCTGGACCCAAACCATACATACTACTAATCACTTCACGAGCGCCTCCACCAATGTCATCTATTGCATAACTTGTACTTGTTGCAGAAAGATAAACATTGGTTAATTGGGTAGGTAGATTCTGAGGTCACCTTCGCGACGTAGAAAGGAATGACAAGACGCATCAAAACCAGTCGCTAGACACTTTAATCTGCCTAATCATTCTATAAAGCATCAGAGAATCTGCGGCCTTTCCTTATATTTAGGTAGTTCAGAAAGCCGTAAGACTCTTGAACAAGAGTTTATCTTTGAAATCGGCGAACGCTTTTCAATCTACTAATTTATTGTTGTTTTTCTCGTTACCATGCACCGCAGCCCCATTTTGTGCATATAAACACACACACACACAGCCCAAAATTCCTCCATTCGCTCTGAAGGGCTAATGCTTGGAACGTCAGTTATGAAACTATGGTGGCCAATTTACGTTATTAATAATATACGTCAGTATGAGAGCGATCTTCTTAGTGGTGATCACTACTTAAGCAGTAGTGAAAATAAGGCTTGAAAAAAATTCAGGCCTGTACGGGATTCAAACCATGGCCTTTGCGATGCCGGCGCAGTGCACCCCCAACTACCGTAAACATGCTCACCGAAACTACACAACAAAACGTCTAACAAGAGATTTATTATCCAACACGCCGAATTGTTATTTCAGTGCGAGCGAATTTCGCAGATATTTCTGGAATACAAATATCACGTGACATCTGCACTCGTTTCGCGCGTTATTTGTAGCCTACGAAGTACAGTTGGATAATTAATATTTGTTTCACACAATCAGTGGCTCTAGATGCCAGAGCTCTTCTTCAAATCGTGTGTATTTAGAGACCCGAGTAGCACTCACGTGCACAAGAACGTGTTGTGACACGCGATTTGAGTTGTGTATCATGGGCTACAATTTTTCGGGTGCTGAAGAGAAGTTAATCTTCCATGACCCTCTGCTCGTTTTACGTTTGCACGTGTGTTTCTAGTATGAGCGATTGTAGTTTGGTAGGAGTTCCTTCTAATTAGGTGCTGGTTGCGTAAAATGCTAAATAATAGCCTGGGGGTATCTCGAACATGAATAGACGGATTTTCTGTCAGAAGATCCCTACAAACAAATGACCAGGCCGGAACTCTCAAATGCACTAGCACATGATGCAAAACTTGTCCTTTCATTCACAACGTTGAGAAAGTATCGGGACCCAAACGACGCTTTAAGATTAGTGACTGTAGCCACTTCAGCTAAAGCTAAATGTTACCGCTTCCGAAAGAAGCTGCGAATTATATTTATGGTTGGGTGAACGCCTCCGAGATTAGTTCTTGAAGATATAAAATTATAGACATAAAAAACATAAAATTACAGTTAGCGATTCAGTTCAGGATAAAACCTCATGTAATCAAGATCGTCTCTAAACTAGAAGACAAGTTAGACCGTAATCCTCGTTAACAGTAGTCAAGACCCGAGAACGTTGGTAAGCGACAATTTATTTTGTGATTATGTCAACTCGTGGTTGTGATTCAAAGCGAAACCTATCACTAGCTTTTTACTTTTCTTGTTTCTTTTAATTGCCACGTGCTCGTTGCCCAAGTGGATATTATTCTTAAAGCTATGATCGCATAATACTCAGGTAATTTCTTCACGTAATGATTTCAGTTGACCGCTTCGATATAAAGAACACCTCAAAGAATAGGAAGGAATAAAGAAAGAAAAGATCCTTTATTGGTTTGGTGTTTATCGCATGCGCGTATACCCACCCGGGAATCGAGTGCAAATTCTAACTTGAAAGGAAACATTTACACTGATCACTTTACATGAACCTCCACCGATGTCATCCATTACATACCTTGCACTTGTTGTTAAAAGATATACATTGGTGAAACGGGAAGACGACTTGGTGACCGATTCTGAGGTCACCTTCGTGACCGAGAAAGGAATGACAAGACGCATCAAGACCAGTCGCTAGACACTTTAATCTGCCTAATCATTCTTAACAGCATAGGAAAATCTGCGGCCTTTCCTTTGATCTTTCATTAATTTCTACTAATTTATTGCTGTTTTTCTTGTTACCATGCTCCCACCAATGGCACCGTAGCTCCATTTTCTGCATATAAACACGCACACACGGCCCAAAATTCCTCCATTCGCTCTGACGAAGGGCTAGCACTCAAAATATCAGCGTTTACGGTGGCCAATTTACATTATCATTTCGGTAGATAAAATCAAAATTATCTTCCACCGAAGCAGCACCACAGTTTCTTTAAAAAACTTACCCCCTAACACTTATGATACACATTTGTATCACACAGCTAGTCACTCTAGATGCCAGATCTCTTCTAGCATAGTGTATGGTTTTGCATTGTTTCGTCCGGCCCACCTGAAGTATTTACGGGAAAATTTAGCGATTTTTTCGTGTGGTTTTTTAAGCATATTTATTCTTTATTTTCGGTATATTTAGCGTCCTCAATTCACGCGAGTTTCTTTCATTGCGATGTTTTAAAAATATAGAAAAGTCACCGTAGTTTTTGAAAATAGATATTGCATTGTTACTTTGCCTTTGCTATGCAGCTGCCTGTCAGCAAAATTCGTTCTCATAGTAGTTGGCAACTGAGTGTATACTCGTAACTTCAATTTCCTTTCGTACGACCAAACTTAACACCAAACTTGCATAGATAAGCAGAAAATTTTAATTGTATTTCTCATTTTATGTTGTAAGCTGCTCTTTTGTTTTTACGATAGGTATATTTTTAATATTGAAGCTGTGAATTCCCACCTAAGCTTCCTGTTTTTAATGGCCTGAAGTTTATTGAACCTGCGCTTTTATATTCGACATGTGAATATCTAAAAATAAATCCTATAGCTTCAAGACCTTTTTCCGTCCTTTTGTAATCTTTCTCAAATATTGTCAATTTAAAGAACAATAGAACCTTACACCGGTTCAATATTTAAGTACTTTGTAATGATTTTTCGATTACTAACCTGAAGAAGCTAGAGGTCGTGTCGCCTTTTAGCCTGACCTAAGATAAAGGTTACTGTGGCACCAAAAGGTTTTCTCGTCCTAACGTCCCTAAAAGCTCACTCGAAGCAGGTCGCCTGTTCCAGGGAATCGTGATGAGTTCCTGTTCTCGCTGCCTAGTCACGTGTACCAACTAGTCTCCCCCGTTATTGTTGTGTCGTCCGCGAAAGTCCAGTTTGGGCACGAAAACTTAACGTCACAGTAGTCCGCAATACGCGAGAGAAGTAGCCTATTCCATCCAGCATTGGCAGAACGTGATACATGAATACATGATATTGAACAACATGTAGAAATGATATTGTCCGAAATATGCCGACTAGGTCTTGCAAATTTCGCACGTTGCTACATCCTTCTACAACACACTTAGTCGGCATATTTTCGGACAATATCGACTACAACCTTCCCAAACAAGTGAAATGTGTGAAATGCAGACTTTCGTGTTCTCGATTTGAGGTCACATTACCCGCTAGAACCATTCCTCTTTAAACTCGGTCGTGGGGCAAGATGGCGGCCGATTTTCCTTATTTTGATTGGGCACAGAAAATTGAAGATTTGAGCAAATAAAAAACTTTTTGCACAGAAATACTCCAAAAAATACGCTTATTTCGTGAAGCGAAAAAAATTTTTTGGGTTTAGGTGCACTTTAAGGCGTTAGAGCAGCCCTTACCCAATTCAAAGATAGTTCGGAGAACTCAGTGAAGTGAAATTACTTGGTTTGGCAGACAGGAAGGCCCAACCTCAGAGGATCCTCGATTTTTGAGGCAGTTTTCCAATGTACAACGTTAAAAAAGTTCAAATGGACGAGAAGCACTCATTTCTTACCCGAGACAATGGTAGGTTTTTGCGCCTGTGTTTCAAACTTAAGTTACGCAGCCCATTTCGCTCGTTATTTCTGCACCCCGTGCAATAAGGCATTGTTTTAGTATATAGCTTACCTTGTATCAGTAAGAGAATATGGCAACGCATAAGTCCGGCCGTCAGCACTATCTTTCATGATTGTGTTACACCAACTAGCTACGTTCAAAAGAAAGCGAAAGCCGTTCCTTCTCAAACGAGATACACATCATATTAGTGCTTCAGATGAAAACCGAATGTGTCAAAGCGGAATACTCATATGTCTAAGCGAGTTCATCAAAGTCTTAGAAGCCACTAGTATTAAATAAAGGACTTGTGATGTAGCGGTAGTTGTTGTCGAGAGTGACCGACTGTCTCAAAAGCTCAACCCGGCGCTAGAGAGAGCCATTGTGGAAGATTGTTAATTTCTAGGAACTTTGGAGAACTGTGTCTGTGCTCGGATCGACTCCAAACTCTGCACATATTCTTTTGAGTGACGGTTTATGGTAATTATTCTTTATTTAATTGATTTAAATAATTTAATTTAATTTAATTGGTGGGCCGATTCATTCTGAATTCCTCCCATCTAAAAGGGAATCCTTCTTACGGTGAAACATCAGAAAAGATTTGAATTTTTCCGGAAGTTGACCGAATGTTTCGTGAGAGGCAAAGTTGAGCCGCTTAGGCCGGAATCCTGTATCAGGTTTTGCAAGCCATTTCATTGATTTTACAACTGCGACGTGCTCGATCATATTTTTCGTAAATATTTCTCTGAACTCAGCTTTGAAATATTGCGATGGAGTCAAAAAAATCTTTACCTTTTCATTTTAGGAATTTACTAAATATTTGGTATTCTCATAAAATGAAACTGCGGGCACCTCATTCTCGCTTGCACCCAAGTTAAGGATACGTACTATAGGAAAAGCCCTGTTTTGAGCACTTTCCTGAGATCTTCGCCGAATATCTTCTATCTGATGTCGAGACGCTTGACTGAACTCCATTATTATC